TTTTTTTATTTATTTAGAAGTGCGAATTTAACTTCTCGTTAAGAAGATAAGAAATTTTCAAAAATTAGTAATCGCTAGCCTGCACCGAATAAATCGGTAGCTTGCACCGAAAAAATCGGTAGCTGCTACCGAAAAATAATCGGTACCTGCTACCGATTTTTTTCGGTAGCAGCTACCGATTGCCAATCGGTAGCATCTACCGATTATTTTTTTCCGTGTAAGAACGATAGCGCTTTTGAGGGTAAATGTCTACTTAAGACGCTACTCTAATCATTACTGACAGTAGTTATATCTATGTACTGAGTATATTAATATTTCACTTGTCAATAAGATATGAATAATTCGATAGATATGCAAGAAATTATCAGCAAATATTATATTCAACAACGCAATTTTGGCAATATTAAAAAATTCATAACTTGAATACAAGCTCGATTCCCTAGCCCAAATTTTCAGGGCTTTTTAGGAACATAATAAAGCAACTTTCCTGAAAGTTTGAAGGAAATCGAAGTTCCGAGAAAAAAGTTCTAGCCATCTGTAAACTGCGATTTTTTAAAATTTGATTGGTTTCAGATGGCTATAACTTTACTTAATAGAAGCAATCAATAAAAACTTGCATAGATTCTACAAAAGTATACCCCAATAGAAGACATTAGCTGCTGGTCGATCCTCAACTTCAAACACTGTACATATACTAGTGTTTTACAAATGAGTAGAATTTAATCAAAACAGTTCGTTAGTTAGAGGCTGTCAGCTAAGGCCTATATGAGTTTAGACCAAATACTTATTTTTCTCATAAAAGTAGAGAGTCTACTGAAAAAAATGCCGCTGGGCAGAAGTCTTTAAATTATATGGGGCATTCCATGCCAAATCGACCACTTTTGACACCGACCCTTTTCGATTTTTCTGACATTTTGGTATCTTTCTCTACCCTATTGAAAACAATTTTCAGAATTTTTTCAAATTTTTTTACCCAACCAAAAAAAAGTTACAAGTTATTACAAAAAAACAGCTTTTTTTTTTGTTATATAACCATAACTTTTTTGAAAATTGACTTTTTGAGATGTTTTTTTTTTTGAAATTTTTGTCTTTAAATGTACTTTAAAAAAAAAATAAAAATAATAATTTGGATTCATATTTAATGTTTTTTTTAACTTTTTGAAAAAAAACGAAAATTTCGGGATGATTGACATTTTTGATTTTCGATTTTTCTTTTTTATAAAAAACTTCAGTATTTTTTGCAAATTCCCTAAAATTTTCAGAGTGGTAAACTTTTTCTTTCTATTTTTTTTTTCAGAGTAAAACCAATAACTTCCCGATTTTTGAAAATTTTTAATTTTCTTAGCAGGAAGTTAAAAATGAGTGTGTGTAAGCGTCACACGCGATTGAAGTTAAACTTCTTTGGCATTATAAGAGGTGGCGATTAAATTAAGTTAAAAATAATAGATACATCGTATAATAATAATTTGATTACTATCATACTTCAAATATGATATGATTGGTTAATAACTGAAATGAGAAATAGTCGAGATTTTTCTAAACCTGTATCAATATTTTTAATTACTATTAGGATAAAACAATATATTAATCCTCTTCTAAAAAGTTGATGGCCGGATGTCGTATCGTTTTACGTCACTTCTGTGACTATTACGGTTGTTAATTGGTCGACTGAGATAATGACAGGATTTTTGAAAGAATGAAGGCGAGCGAAGCGAGCATGTTATGTCTAGTGCTATAAAATCAAGGTTATATTGGGAAAGCTGCACGTTTATTCATAATAAATATACACTATCAGGGCATGCTGAGAGATAGGGAGTATATCCATAGCTAGAGTACCAAAATAGTTTACTTCGGTTATTTCCAATTTAAACATCGACTATACAAACTAGTATATACTGAAATCATCTTAGTTACTTGTATGTATAATTAACACACAATTAATTCTATATATCGTATGATTTTTATAATTATTTAATTTAATATATTTTATTAATTATTTCTTTTTCAAAAATTTTTAATTGATTTGTTTATAAACTATTCATTGACAAAATCAAAAATATTTAAAAACCGGATGGTACAGAAACGAGACGCCATCTTGCCATAACGGACTTACGTTGCATTGGGTGTGTTTGGCCGAAGTAAGTACTTACTAAACTTAGTAAGCCAGTTAGCATAAAAAATTTTAATCTTACAAGCTGACTATAGCGCTTTTCGGCCGGGACAGACTTACAGGCTTAGCATAATACAAAATACCGACTTACGTTATATTCCGTACATAATCTCATAGTGTGAATATAATTGACACTGATAAATTTATTAATATAGTTTAATTCAAGTAATTAGTTGTAAATGGACAATTTTATGAGAAATATTTAATTGGAAGAAAAGTTAAACGACCCCTTAATCAACATAACATTTAAACTATAGATTGAGTATGAACAAATGATTACTATTTCTCTTATATTAAGAATAAGTAATATAAATTTTAACGATTATTGAAACAAACAGTCAATAGAGTAATTGAATTTAAAAAATATACATTTCTTTTCTGTCTTGTCATACTCATAGATCTCTTCTTTTAAATGATATTTGTGAAACTTGTCATAAGTTATAATACTATAAACAATTCTTTGCTTGTATTAACTGCTTATATTAATTGTTATCAAATATACTTAACTATCTATAACAATAGATATTTAACGTCAGTCATTTTTTCTAATTAAATAAGCAGTCTCTCTTAATCAAATTATCTATACATTTGTTATAAAAGATATAAAAAAATTAATTAAAATCTGAACTACACTGTGTAAGTATAAAAAATTCAAATTAATTTAAAGTATAGTTTTGTAACATCTCATATAATCTTATGAAAAAGATCTTTTCAAGTACCTCTTAAAGCTTTCTATCAAAAAAAGTAATTAAATATCTTATTGCATAGAATAACCAATATAAATTCAATTCTATATGCTTCGGTCTGTTTTGTTTACATCAATAATAAACGAAAAATCGTCTTATATTAAGCCATGCTTACTGCGTTAGCACTTATTTTCTGTCCCGGCCGAAAATTTAGTAAGTATAGTAAGTGACTTACTAAATTTAGTAAGTACTTACTTCGGCCAAACACGCCCATTGTCGTCCAGTTACCTCGTAGTCGCGCCTAAAGAAGTTTTGCTTCAAAATAAAATTACAAGGAAGCGAAGTGGTATAAAAGATATGAATTAGTGAAACTGAGCTACGGTTTTTTTTCAACCTAATATATTTTATCAAAGTTTTTATGACAAAAAAAAACTGTCTTTAGTTGTTACTAAAGAGCGATTCATAATTTGCTCTCTGAGTACGATGAAGCGTAAAAACCGAGCATGTGTTGAATAAAACTATGTGTGTTATAATTTATAATTATTTGTCACACCTACAACTCGCGTCGAAAACATTGCTCTCAACAAATGACGACTGGCTTAATTAACTTGTTGCTAGAGAGAATTTTTTTTTGTTTCAGGTGAGAACCACTATGCACTATATTTATTTACTATCTCATCAATGCACATTGAATCCAAAGGCTAAAGAAGTGGTAATTTATATCTATACTCACATATTGAATTTTACTCACGTGTATAACTACATACATTAAAAATTCTGTTGTAGTTGGCTGATTTTTCATGTAGTCTAATACATCGACGCTTAGAATTTTCAACCTATGGAGTGATGAATCTCAATGGTTCTTTGTTGCAAAATGTAATAATCCTTAACTTTTTTTAATAATTTGAAATAATGCAAAAATTATTCAACTAATCGATGGTTCAAACTATGTCTCGAAAAAATGTTTTCAGATTTTTGGTACCATAGTATCATATCTTATAATTCTTCTTCAATTTCCTCATCAACAATAAATTACAATGGTTGATCTAATACAAGAACTATTTATTATTCCTCAAAGCAAGAGTATTGCCAATAATTATCGAACGGACGTCCAAAATCTTGATACATAAGAAAAGTTTGGAAAATCCAAAATTGCACGCTTCATAGGCTTGTTCTACTATCAAAATAAAATTAAAAAAAAAAAAGTTTCACAAAAGAAAATATATTTGTCAACAATAATATCAACAGCTGATATCGAATCTTGTTCATGACGTACACGGAAAAAAATTTATTGTTGCTGCAACAGGAGGCAGCCATGTTGCAACAACAGGCACAAATCCTGTTGCAGCAACAGGATTACTACTGTTGTTGCGACTTGATAGTAAAATATAGTTGGGTCAATCCATGCCAAATCGAGCAATAGTTGGAATCGACCCCTTTCGATTTGGATAAATTTTGGTCAGAAGTTTTCTTTTATCATACAACGAACTTCTGCCAAAGGAAAAAAAATTTTTAATTTTTTTTCTAAAGATATGCAAATTCAAAATTTCGCGATTTTTCCAGTTTTTCAATTTTGTTTTTGTTATATCTCGAACGCTATTATAGATACAGGAATGGCCTTTCGTTTGTTTGAAAGGGCACACTTGGGGCTATTGAAATAGTATATTACATACCTAGGCCAGTAAAATAAGAAAAGTCTCAGACCACATGTAATTGTTGGCCGAGGCGAAGCCGAGGTTGACAAACATGTGGTCTGAGGCTTTACTTTTTACTGGCCAAGGTGTGTATACTATTTTTCTGCTCGACGTAGCCGGAATGTGGCAACTTTGTTTAGCGCAGCGGCCAGAAAGTTGCCACTTTCCGGCCGGAGGGCAGAAAAAAAAATATTTTGAAAAATGCCAAATTTGTTAAATTTTGAATTTTTGAAAATCGTCAAAAATGACGATCTATATTAAATTTCGGCTCAATTTTTTTTTTGTATAATACCTTGTACTGATCTTAAAAGATCCTGGAATTTTTAGAACTGTGTTTTTTTTTTAAATATGAATTTTTAATTTCAAAAAAAAATTTTCTTTTGTTTTTTGCAACTTCTAAATAATAAAAGTTATGCAGATACATAGTATTGTAATTTTGAACATTAAAAAGTTAAATGCACGACGAGGATATATTAAATATTAAATTAATTTCAACTTTTTTTTCTATTTTTTGAACGTAATCTTAAAGTCAGGCTTAACACATGATATAATTTCTTATTTTTTTAACGCATGATATATTTTGTCCGTTTTTTCACTTCAATAACAGTTTTTAACGTCAAATAACTCAAACAGATGTTAATTTCCAATAACAAACAGAAATAATGTGGTGAGAATATCAATTTTTTTTCGTTCTTTTGAGTACTTGTTTACTTACAAATTTCTGCATATTAATGTTGCTCAATCTCGAATTTCAAATCATTTCCATGTTAATAAGACGATAAGTGGCGTCGACAACTTTTAATGAAGTAAAGTGAAAAAAAAATCACAGTCCTAAAAATTTCAGAATCTTGTAAGATCAGTACAAGGTACAGTAAAATGGGTACAAATGACCACCTCTCTATATTGAACAGTATTTCTAGGAACCGGCTTAATTACACTTGCATTACCCATACTAATACCTCTCTGTTTTGTCGAAAACTATCCAATGCGGATATTTCTCGTAATTGTTTTAAAAATATGATGAAGTTGGGATTAGGAAGTTAAATAAAAATGATTGGATTTTTTGGGGAACAATTTAGATGGTTTATTTGTCCCCAAAGGAGGAAAACCCAGCTAGGCTGGGAAAAACCTCCTTGTTTAAAATTTATACAAGTAAATTGTATGTGTGTAAGTGTGTGTGTGTAAATTACGTTGCAATAACGCAATAGGGGTGAGCTCAGCCGCCGTATAAAGAAAATTATCGATAATTTAAATTTGTATAGTCCCAAGGTAGCAGCTAGTAATATCTAATTAATTAGATGAACTGTCTCAAGGCGAGAGCTAATAATGTTCAATTAATTAGATAAATTGTCTCAAGGTGAGCGCTAATAATGTTTAATTAGTTAGATAAATTGTCTCAAGGTGAGAGCTACTAATATTCAATTAATAACAAATCGTTAGTTAATCGAATTTAGGTTTTCATATTCGAATTAATCAAATGAATTTAATTTCAGAATGGAAATGTTAATATTTATGATTAAGTAAAAATAGTAATTAAATATTGGTAATGAATTCAATATTAATATCGCGTGTTAATTAGAGATTGACTAAAGCCGCGTGGCTGATGCAATCCTTTGTGAATATGGCGCGTAATGGCCGCGTGGCGTCACTAATTAAATCTACTTTGATTTTAGTTATTCTAATTCACTGAACTATTAAACTGATTTGAATGATTTGAGAATGTAATTGTTATTAAGTTGAAGTAATTATTTATGTTTAATGAATAATTTAAGTATCTGAATAAATGTGAAATGCAAGTAAGAAATATTAGAATCGATTGACACAGAGTAGTCGTACTAGTACAAGAGTCCAAGCACAACTGTTGCAGCAGACCACGCGAGCCGGCTTCTTTACCGCTAACCAAGGCGCGCATGAGTGACGGCCATAGAGTGATACGATTATTCCCGAGTTTTAACGATTAAGCCCGAAGGCGTAATTCTTCTTATAAGTATTTGACTAGATCTTTTTTCTAGCGGTTAAACACTCTCTAATCTGACCACCTCTCTTTATTGACTACCTGCCTAATATGAAAAGAAAGTATACTGAGTTGGATATTAATAAAAAAAAATGATTGTGGATTTGTTGGAGCAAAAAGTGAGCCAACGCAATGTGGCGATCCAATTTGATGTATCGAAAACCACTTTAGTTAACATAGGTCGTAATAAAGATGTTATTATAAAAATGTGGAATGACAATTGTCACGCAGACAGGAAAAGAAAACTACGGAAAACGGAGTTCGAAGGCGTAAATCTAGGCGTACTGAAATTTTTTGAATTATGTCGGTCCAAAGATGTTCCTGTTTCTGGAGTAATGTTGAAGAAAAAATCTCTAGAAATGGTGGTTACCCATACAAAGTTGCCGATGCTCAACAATTTCCGTTCATTGGCCAAAAGCCACGGCTGCTAATGCTTGGCCAAGTATCGTTGTTTTGTATCGGCCTAGCCTCGGTAAACCATCGGCTTTAATATTCGGCCAAGCATTGGCGTTTTGTACTGGCCGAGTCTATAGACCTATAGGTAAGCTATCGGCTACCGCATGATAATTATTATAACATAATGGTATGTGATTTGATTATCAGCCATTGCTTGGCCGATGCTCTGGCTAATTGTTTATTACACTTGAAAACAATTAATACGTGTTAGTCATTACTATGTTGTATTATTGTTTTAATTTAACGTTTGACCAAATTATAAACTAATATGTACTAAAAATTAGTAAATCAATTTTTAAAAAATATCTAACGAGATTTTTTTTAGGAGAAAACACCAATTTAAATTATTAACAATGCTTTTTTTTTATAAATATTATATTGATCATTTTTTAGTTTTTAATAAACATTTTTATTATTCAACAAGCTCTATTAAGATTAAATCAACATTTGTTTTTACTGAAACAGATTTAATAAGTAATGAATATTTTTTTGGAGGACTTTTTCGATAAACTTTTACATTACCCAATCAGTTAAACAAAACCTATTTCTTTTATTCGCTCCGAGGGCAACAGGGCTAGCGCTCGAGGTGACAATTTTAATAACTTCGTACCCAGAAAATCCCATGTTATTTCCCATAAGACGCGACATCTGCGATAAAAATCGGAACTTCACTCCCACTCACGGATATACACAGACGCGTAATACACTTACATTTTCTGTGAGTGTATTAGTTGCCCTCGGAGCGAATAGTGCGAGGATAAAATTTACGTTTTTCAACATATTCTAGTGGAGAATGCTGTAATACTCTAAAAAAAAATTTTTAGATTTATTTTTTGATATTTTTTTATCATGAGGTACTTTTGGATGAAATTTAAAAAATAATATTTAATTATTAATTATTTGATGGACTATTATAAGAAATAAAAAATTTAATAGTAGCTATATTATATTTGAAAAACAAAATTTCGTAAATTTTAAATGATTTTTAAGTAATTAGTTTTTATATTAAAATAATTAAAAAATCATGAAACGAAAAAAATTTAGTATTAATAGTTTTGTACCTTCCAATTTAATTATTTAAAATTAATTAATTAATTAGTTACAAATATAATTAGTTAGATAGGGAATTCGAATTAAAATTTAAAAAAATTTTTAAAATGACTTTCTTTAAAATATACTGTCGTTTGATGTAAATAGTCTTAAAGTATTACGGAAAATAAGAGCTGCAATAAAATGGCGCCACCTATCGGAATAAAAATTTTTTCAAAGATGCATTTGGTATTTTACTCCATCGGGATCCTGGGTTATCGGGATTATACCCAATCGGAAATCTTGGTCATCGGGATCTATCTCATCGGAATCTAGGCTAACGATTTCTATTTCATCGGGATTCTGGGTTATCGGGATTATATCCAATCGGAAATCTTGGCTATCGGAATCTTGGTAATCGGAATCTGGGCTATAAGAATTCAAGTCATCAGAACCTATGCTATCGGTCTTATAGGTCATCATTTCCTTGGCTATAGAGGTCTACCCAGATAATTTTGTCGTTCAATCAGCCGGAAAAAAGTTACGAGCTCTTCTCGGTTGGAATGTACAATTTAAATAAAAAATTGAGTTCCAATTCCTGACATTTCAGCTTCTTCTATCAAATGACTAGTTTTTAATCAGGAATTATAGAGAAAAATATTCGTTTCCGAAAAGTACTGAGATGATTTTGTCCTGTTTTTAGCCTAAAACGAGTTACAAGTCCTTCTCGGTTGATAAGTACATTTTAGATAAAAAATTGAGTTTCAATTCCTGACATTTCAGGTTTTTCTATCAAATGACTAATTTTTAATTAGGAATTATAGAGAAAAATATTTGCTACCAGTAAGTACTGAGATAATTTTGTAGTTCAATAAGCCTGAAAAAAGTTACAAGCTCTTCTCGGTTGAAATGTACAATTTAAATAATAAATTAAGTTTCAATTCCTTACATTTCAGCGTTTTCTATCGAACGATATGCATTGTGCTACCCAGTCGCCATCATACTGTTGGCGCATGCGTAATGTAGGCATGGGGGCTTGAGGTGATGGTTTGCTTATTAGATATAAAATAATTAATAATTAAGAATTTAATTATTTTTATGATCGAACAATCGTCAATAGTGATTGAACAAACGATAATTTGTCAAAATTAATTAACCTGAGCGATAAAAATGAAGATATTTAGTAAGGGAGGCTAATTTAAGGGTGAGAATTTGTTTAATTAATTATAAATAAATAAAAGACGAACAAACAATTTTTACATTCGAACATTAACGAACTAACGACGAACAAACAATTAAAAATAAAAAAAATCCAAAATTCAAAAAAGTGGGGCCAAATTCAGTGAGCTATTAAACATTCTAAGTTCAATGACAAGATTATTTTTGTGAAAAACAATCAAATTCGACATCAAAAAACACTATTCTCCAAAATTAACAATAAGTTCGTTTTTCTCTGACAATTTGATATTTTTTGTTCAAAAAAAAGTTTCTTTGTTCAAAATACAAAGAAAAAAAAACAAATATTTTTCTTTACCTCATTTTGAAGCTTATTCAGGACTTAAGGTATTACCCTCGCGACATATAGTGCGAGTAAATTTGGGTATAGTTTAGGATATTTTTGTCTTTCTCACTTGCTATTCCTTACTCACTTCTACTCATAGTTATTTTTGAATAATAGTTATTTTTTAATAATATTTAAAAATCTAGATGGTAAAAATCAATGAAAGTTTGAAAAAAACAAATAATAGCTGTTTTTTAATAGTAGTTTAGTTTTTTATGAAAATCTTAAAAAAAGTTTCTTAGTTATAATAAAATATACGAGTAAAATTTTCGGTATCCCGTATATCACAGTGCATAACCTCCTCTAAAAATTCGAACTTTGAAATTAAATATCTTTGAAACTAGATGGTCAAAAAATTTCAATTTGCGTCAATCGATGCAGAATTATATAAATATTAATCTGCCAAAATTTAAAAAAATTCCTAAGAAAACGAGGGAACTACCTTAATATAAAAATGGAAAAAATAAAAAGAAAATAGTACGATCGAAAAGTTTTGATTTATTTGGCACATCTAGAAAGAATTGAAGTGTCTATCCATAACCATTTCAACTAAAGCATTACTTTTTCTGCCTACTACGAAAACTTGAAAGTTTTACTTTACTGATATAATTTCCATCTGAAATATGGTTGGAGATATTCAAGTGGATAAAACTGCCGAAATTGATGGAACTGAGGCTCGTGTGCCGACTTTTCTACCATTTGATAGAAGACAATTTCAACAAAAACAAGGAGTGGATAAGTTTGGCCTATACAACTCTGTACAGTGATTGTTTTCATACAACAATGTGGCGGGCTTTCCCCTATCATATCGTGTCTGAGGAGGATAATCCGATATTGTGGCGTGGAACATACTTGTCCTCCAAAAAGTGGAAGAAGGTCATGGAAAATGAGCATAAGAAAGACTCGATTATTTTAGTGTCTTCTTATAGCAAGACTTCATGTATTAGGACTTTCGGTGAGCAAACTGATTTAATTTTTTTATGATGAACGTTTTGCATGATAGAAAATTACACTATTGATGACTTGGAAACGCCGTATTATTTAGCACATCACAATACTTATATCAAACAAATTGTGTTTTGGTATACCAGTTACGTAATTACAATGCGTACCATTACACTTTCCAACGATTATTAGTTGACCATTACTAACATACTTTCTATTATACTTAGATGACTCATCGTGACTGTTGGACAGGACAACGGTTTAAAGTTTTGGGATCTTCAAAATAAAAAAGAAATAGCTACTACCGGTTTCTACGCTAATTGGATTAAGTAATTTTAATTGATCGATTAATCCACAATTAACTCTTCAGTACTTGCGCCATACCCGATCAAAAAAGAATTTATCTAATTATATATGATCATGCATAATCGTCTAAATATGATCAAATCCAAAAAATGGCCAGATCTGATCATACATAATTAAATCTATTTATACATCAACAGATAAGAATTTTTCGGTAATACGGTAATCATTTAGGTACGGTAATGATCCTACCTAATCCTTTATAACCTATTAAAATATTAAAAAAAATTATTACTGATAATTTATAGCTACATATAGTACACAGGTACATATAGTACAAATTTCCGTTTGCCTGTGCTATTGATTTATAACAAATAATCATTTTATAAAGTAGATAACGTAACAAATCAGTTTATCATAAATATGCAATTATACATGATTATGTACAGCTTGTATATGCTCATTTATAATTATATATATGATGAGATAAAAATTTTTTTCATCGGGTATCCTTATCGCGAATGCTTAAAGAGTTAATATAAATGCTTAGCTAATTAATTAATCATAAATAATAGCTCTGGAGAATGCCGGCATTTTTGCATCGGCGAATGGGATGGAATTTCAACCTCTTATGAAAAAATCGACAACCAAATAACAGCTGGTTCAAAACATGATTTACGCTCAAATACAAACGAAAAAATACTTGATCTTGCTACCAACGACATATCTGTAAATATGAATATGTTTTATTTACTTTTCCACATAATACCTATTTGATTATAATCTTAAAATCAGCACTGAAAAGTCACAATGTTTTGCTTACGAAGATCATCATTGATTATTAGTTATAGTTTATTTGTAACGCTAAATAACAACTAAACTACTGCCTCTGATACTCTTTATCCAAAATGTAACGGAAAAGTTGAAAGTAAAGTTGACAGATAATTCTCCATTAACTTTGAGATCATTTTTTTCTATCATCGATAACATATTTCTGTAATTTCCAGAAAGAAAATTAATGCCATCTTAATAATTAAATTTCATTTAATTACTCGGCAAACTACCGGAATACAAGTTTTAAAGTTCTTAATGAATCTACATAAAATTTTTTTATAAATTAATGACAATTTTTTACTAGTTTACTTTTGAAGTCAATTTGTCTGCAAGTACCGGCAGTAGATTCCTAATATCTTGTATGGTAAATTCTATGTAAGTGTAGTAAAAAATAAAGAAACCCGAAGCTGACGCATAGTCTGTAAGATTGAAGAAAACTTTTGACCTGTGCGAATTGAGCGCCCTATCTAAGGATTTGGGAAGTGCGAATGACCTTAATCGATAGGTCTACGTTAGGTCCCTTTAAGTCTATAAAAATTTTCGTTAGTTCACCTATAGTTTTTTTTTAAATTGTGCATCAAAAAATTCAAATTTTAGCACCTCATTTTCAAAAAAAATCGAAATCTTTATCGTATTCACATTCTTAATCGTTAGATCAATATTGGTCCATAGTTTCTGTTTTATTATCATTCATTTCATTTATTTTATTTAAAATTATAAATCTATTAGGGCCCGCGCATACGCACTATCCACCTTTATATAGCACAGCACGGGATTTAAAGAGTATTCGTTTCCTCTTCACGGAAAAAAAAAACTGTAGCTGCTACAGGTCTTAGGCCTGTAGCGTGTTCCTGTAGCAGCAACAGGTTAGGCCTGTAGCAGCAACAGAAAAAGCCTGTAGCAGCTATAGGCCTAGTTTTGTAGCTGCAACAGGAAAAGCCTGTAGCAGCTACAGACCTAGTTTTGTAGCTGCAAAAGGATAAGCTCCATTACAAGTTTTAAATTTAATTTTTTTGAATTTTATTTTTAAGGTTTTTCATAGTAGGACATTGATCATTTTTAATGTGTTTACGTTAAATAATTTTATTCTTATTTGTTATTCCTTGAAAATTTTTTAAGCCTAGACTGACAAGCGCGACCTAACAACTTTGGTCAAGTGATGAGGGATTTACCGTAATGCTTTTACAGCGTACAGTTTTGCCAGTTCATACACGTTTGACAGGCAGAGACTAAAGGTGTTTTTGGCAACGCCGTGGACAAAATAGATATTTTCGATACATATGTGCGAAGTGAGGCATTCCCAGGGCTTAAAAATTGAGACACGAGTCTAAGGAACGGCGCGTTTACAATGGGGCCGAGTACGCAGATTACCCCCACGAGCCGTTAGGCGTACTCGGTCTCATTGTAAACGTGTCGTTTCTTTTGGCGAGTGTCTCAATTAAGCCCTGTGAATGCCTCAGTTGGGACATATGTATCGAACAATATTTTTTATAACGACTGCTTTCAAAGTTCAACAGAGAGAAATTATTATTTACAAAGTAATATTGTAATTAGCTGAACTATATCAGTTATCAAAAAATTATAAATAATACACGCAGTTATGGTTAGTAGTTGCACAGAGTTGAACATATGATCGACAAGCGGCTATTCATGTGTGGTTATTTGGTATGCGTAGGCACTAGAATTAGTCTCAGTATGCTTGATAGTTTGATTTGTAGTGGTAGTGGCGGACATATACATTCTATGAATCTTATACATTTATTGTAGTTAATTTTCATTCCCGCACGGTCAAGCAGTTGGAAAGTTTGACTCCGCCTACTTTCCCGCACGCTACTATAGTGTATGCAACCATTACGAGAATACGCAACTTTGCGTTTGCTGAGCAAGGCTCGAATGTTGAGCTTTGGAAGCAGGAGTTACAAAAAAAATTTTAAACAAAATAAATGCTTCATACACTCAACAAATAGAATCTTATAAATTAAAATCACTTCTTATAAAAATAATTAATTTTATGGATTTGTGCCTGTTGTTGCAACATGGCTGCCTCCTGTTGCAGCTGCAGGAAAATCCTGTAGCTACAACAGGATTGTTTCCTGTTGCTGCAACATGACTGCCTCCTGTTGCAGCAACAATAAATTTTTTTCCGTGTAGTTTAGATTCTTGTCGTAGCGCTGTTAGAGGGTATCAATAATTACAGTGTCAGTGTTGATGATAAATTTTTAGAATATAATAGAATAAAAAAAAATTAACTGTCATTAATATCTTTTAAGCATCTTTTGAGCATCTATGAATCTGATAGAAACAAATAAGTGCATAGACTAACTGATAGCCGTATTAATAATTTTTTAACTAAATTTTTTGTAAATATACTAATCAATTGAATAAAATAAATACGCTCACTTTATGATTTAATATGTCTAGTATTTAAAACATCCCTTTTTTTATTGATTTAATGTTGAAATTAGGACATACTAACAATTTTATATTGCAACATCACACAGCAAGTCAAGAGTAGAGCAATACATATACACACACGCGCGCGCGCTACCTGGGTGTCACGAAAAGCTGTCCTTTTGCAAACATCTAGATCGGGCATGCATAAAAGCCAGTAAGATGGCATCCAGCCCATCAAGGATAATGACTAACACGCCCATACGCCAGGAAATCCAACTTTCTGGCCTAGGGTTGTAATATACTAATTCTTCAAACCCCGTTATCACCTATTCGGTCATTTTCATGCTAGTGTGAATCTAATTTTCGAGTGGATGGAAATTTCCATCTTCACTAACAATTTGAGACAATTCGTCTTCGGATAGTTAGGTCGATGGGCATCCAGGTTCGATTCCTGGCTTGGTTAATTTTTCATGGATTTTTTCAAAAAAGTTGCCCTTCATTCTCAGTAGCTTTCCATCGTTAATACTTAATATATAGTCGAGCAGATACTAGCATTCACCAGCTAACTAGTATTCAAGTTCGATGGTTGCCCATCGACCTAACTATCCGAAGACGAATTGTCTCAAATTGTTAGTGAAGATGGAAATTTCCATCCACTTGAAAATTAGATTCATACTAGCATGAAAATGACCGAATAGGTGATAACGGGGTTTGAAGAATTAAATAAAATCACGGTTGATAAAATCAATAAAAGTAATATACTATATGTTAAATATTTAACACTGTTTGTGTTGATTTAACAGAATAAATGTTAAATTTACAAATAAAAGAAACCTGAAAAAGTGTTGACCTTACAAGCCATTCCTAAAACTTCCCGCTATGTTCATGATTTTCATGCTGAAAACGCTCGAGAAGGTTCGTACGATAAAGTTTTGAGCTGAAAAACTTTAATACACTGTCGAACTAGAAAAACTAGTAATTATATTAGTTAAGTCTTTTTGTAAATATTTATAACTGCAATACGGCGCCCAATTTTAAAACACAGTAACTGCAAAATTTCTACACCCAATTTTTTTTAATATTGCTGCATTTTTTATAACTTTTAGACCTTAATTTCAAGTATTTTTTCTTAAAAATATTTATGTTCAAGTATTTTCTATTCATAAATCAAATTTTTCATCAATTTGGCAGGCAAACTTTTTTTTAAATAAGAAAAATTAAAAAAAATTTCTAAATGTTAATTACTGTGTTTTGAAATTGGGCAGCCGAATATCTCCCGAACGAATTAACTGATTTTGATGCAGTTTACAACAACCGAGGCAGTTTTTTGAGCATACAAAGATTACGTCTCACTCGCTAAACGATTCGAGAAGAAATTTTGAAGTTACACACTTCTTTCCAAATTTTTTGACAACGAGTTCTCTTGAACATATGAACCGATTTTGATGCAGTTTGCGGCAATCAATGTTGTTTTCTGACCTAAAGAGCTAATTAGACTTTGAGATCGATCCCTACACTAGTTGAAAAGATATTGTAAAAAAAATTTTTTTCGAAAATGATGGCTCACATGAAATCTAATGGCATTAAAACTCTTTCGAAAGCCGCAAACCCTATTTCGATCGGTCTTGCTATTCAAAAGTTATGAGAAGTTTACACACTCACACACATACATACGTACATGAAAAGGACGTGCTCGTAAAAAAATTTAGAATAGCTTCCTAGGTCCTCGAAACGTGGAGATTTCATAAGAACTCGATTTTCGAAAACTGGGGTGAAACTAATAACTTTCCGATTTTTTTGAAAATTATTGAAAATTAATGTAAAAAATTACTCAAATGAATGTCGAAGTCTATAAAAATGACTTACAATAATAATAGAACCTTGAAAAATTGAGTTGTTTCAAGATAAGGAGATGTAAATCAAGTGACTGTTGGATATGAAATAAGACATTAACGTTGAAAATATCGTTCGAACCCCTTTGATATGTAACAAAGGTGTTCGATTTTAATTTTTTTTTTCCGCCACCTCGGTGCTAGATAATGACAGTATAAGTCATGTTTAAATTTACTTTTTTCAGCAAAAGTTTAATTTCGTCGACTTCAAACTCACAGACTATAATTTAAAAATCTATTTCCGTTGTTTAAAATTGAATTTTGCATAATAAATAAAGTAAAAATTATACATTAAACGCCTTACTAAATTATTCACTAAATTACAGTCTCTTTCATATCACAGTCTATAATTTAAGCATCTATTTCTATTATTTGAAATTTGACTATACATAACATGATATGTCAAATTACATGTCTTATTACATGCAAAGAAAACTCTCCGACGAACGAAACATGAATCAAAAATAGACTTCTCAGAACTATAATTTAAGTTCACACGATACAAGGAGAAACATACTAGGGTTAATAGTGAAAATGGACAGCACTGTGTTAGAAAATAACTATTTGTATCATAAGCTTATCAATATAATGTCCACGGTACTAAGGTAAAGACTTAAAACTGAAATAAAAAAGTATTGACTGACAAAAATAGTCTTTTCAGTCTTGAATATATATACATCAACATTTATTTCTTAACTGCAATAAATAATATTATTTGTAAATATAATAATTTTTGATTATAATTGATCAAAAATTGTTTACAGGTGTAGCGGATATTGGCCAACAACTTCATCCGCCGCACCGATTTTAAAAATTTTTAATTTTATGCTACGTTTCTTTAACTTTGGTGTTTTTCTGTGCTTAACGGCCGTCATAATCGGTGATGCAATCACCAATTTCAATAATTTATCACTCATTACAGATAACTTATGTTTTTCGATTGGCTGCTTTGAAGCTGCGGCAAAAGCATTCAGGTTTTATAGTGAATATGACAATATTGTTTTACTGATCAATTATATTTATGAACCCTTCGATAAACTTCAAAAAATGGGTAGTAAGTATTGTATGAATACTAAGGTAGGTAAAATAAAACGCCCATTTGTTTTTCTTCAATAACTCTGAAAAGATTGCTGAAGTGATGATTGCTCCACGAATAAATTATTTTTACTAAATTATAGTATTTTTAGTATTGAATATATAATTTATGATTATCATCATGACGTTTGAATTAAGAAGAATTACATATAATTTGTAGATTGAGCGACCTCGCCGAAGGCGAGCGAAGCTCAATCAAAATTATATAGATTGTTTAGTTCTTATTCGAAGAGATCATTCTGTTGTACTGCCTGTGTACGCCAATTGTCACCACACAGTTAAAATATTTAAAAAAATGAATTTAGCCATAATATAGCTTTCTTCTATCTAGATTTATCAAGATTAAAGCTTGATGTTTTGAAAGCAAAGATCTTCTAACGGAGCTTTCAGCCACCAATCATCTAAATAAACTACTGAAATCTAGCCTTGACTTCGTAAAATATTGATAACTGTTTTTAAAATTTTTGTAAATACCCAAGGAACAGTATTTAAGCCAAAAGGTATACAAATAAAATCATAGAGTTGACCATTCCAACAAAATGTGAGAAATTTCCAAAATTTTTTGTGAGTTGGAATCATTTAATACGCGTCCTGTAAATCTAGGTTAGACATAAAACATCCTTCAGTCATAAGTTTCAAAACTGTTCTAAAATCTTCCATTTTGAAATAAGTGACGTCAATAAAATAATTTAATTTTTTCAAATTCAAAATAAATCGTATTTTTCCATTACTTTTAGGAGTAAGGAAAATACTAGATAAAAATTGACCTACAACATTATAACATTTCTGAATAGCTCCTAAAGATAAAAGTTCATCGATAGCTTTTTTTCATAGCTTGATTATCAGAAACTATAAATTAATAGAGGGTTCTTTGTTTTGTACTGGTGTGGTTAAAAGAGGTATTTTATAACCAGATATAGAGTATAGTTTCCAAAATGAAACTATCAGACGTTATTTGTGACCAAGCTTGCAAATGAAATCTAAGTCGACCACTAATGGAACTAACCTTTACTTCGAATTGGTTTTGTAGGCCTGCTGGCCCTTGTTCTTGTTCACGGAACGAGTTTGGGGAGGTGTAGATCGATTGAAATGGTTGTACTTGTGGTAAGGTTTCCGGTTGAAGCCCGGCTGCGGCTTTACCGAGACTGACCAAGGAAAGACCACAAAGGTTTTGATTGGACGCGAAATATTCATCTCTGCCAACAGCAAACTTATGGAGTAAAGGTAAAAGCCCCGGACTCAAAATCGCAGCTTTAAGGTTGATATTATCTTCACTAGGATATTTTTCCAAAATTTATTTTTTGACGGAAGTCTCCATTCCTTTAAATTAACCAAAGTTTCTTTCCAGCAAGTGACAAGATCTGAGTGGAACTAGAAGCTTTGATCCTTTTGTTGACGTTTATCGACACCAAGAAGGTCCCAGGCTTTATTCGGAAGTTCGATAGCCTCAATCGTCTTTCCTTTTGAGTAGGAGAATTCTGGGAATTAAAATTAGGTTTATTTGGAGGAGTTTTCTGTTTAGGGTTCTCGTTCATTAGGGCATCATGTTCTGAATCTGAAGAACATAAAGATCTGAGTTATAAATGTTATCAAAGATATTGATTCTTTGACACAAAATAAAAAGGAAAATTTTGTTTAACAATTTTAATGTTTTAAGAAGACTCAGTCAAATGAAACAGTTTATCACCAAAAAAGGTGTTTTGTCGAAAACTATCCAATGCGGATATTTCTCGTAATTGTTTTAAAAATATGATGAAATTGGGATTAGGAAGTTAAATAAAAATGATTGGATTTTTTGGGGAACAATTTAGATGGTTTATTTGTCCCCAAAGGAGGAAAACCCAGCTAGGCTGGGAAAAACCTCCTTGTTTAAAATTTATACAAGTAAATTGTATGTGTGTAAGTGTGTGTGTGTAAATTACGTTGCAATAACGCAATAGGGGTGAGCTCAGCCGCCGTATAAAGAAAATTATCGATAATTTAAATTTGTATAGTCCCAAGGTGGGAGCTAGTAATATCTAATTATTTAGATGAACTGTCTCAAGGCGAGAGCTAATAATGTTCAATTAATTAGATGAATTGTCTCAAGGTGAGCGCTACTAATGTTCAATTAGTTAGATAAATTGTCTCATAGTGAGAGCTACTAATATTCAATTAGTTAGATAAATTGTCTCAAGGTGAGAGCTACTAATATTCAATTAATAACAGATCGTTAGTTAATTGAATTTAGGTTTTCATATACGAATTAATCAAATGAATTTAATTTCAGAATGGAACTGTTAATATTTATGATTAAGTAAAAATAGTAATTAAATATTGGTAATGAATTCAATATTAATATCGCGTGTTAATTAGAGATTGACTAAAGCCTCGTGGCTGATGCAATCCTTTGTGAATATGGCGCGTAATGGCCGCGTGGCGTCACTAATTAAATCTACTTTGATTTTAGTTATTCTAATTCACTGAACTATTAAACTGATTTGAATGATTTGAGAATGTAATTGTTATTAAGTTGAAGTAATTATTTATATTTAATGAATAATTTAAGTATCTGAATAAATGTGAGATGCAAGTAAGAAATATTAGAATCGATTGACACAGAGTAGTCGTACTAGTACAAGAGTCCAAGCACAACTGTTGCAGCAGACCACGCGAGCCGGCTTCTCTACCGCTAACCAAGGCGCGCATGAGCGACGGCCATAGCGTGATATGATTATTCCCGAGTTTTAACGATTAAGCCCGAAGGCGTAATTCTTCTTATAAGTATTTGACTAGATCTTTTTTCTAGTGGTTAAACAAAAGGTAAAAAAAAAGAAACTGCCCGAATTGTAAAAAACAATTCAAATAATATCAACTATTTTTGAGACAACCCAATGGTGCGAAATAGGGTAGGGTGGGGCTAGTTGATCGTAGGGGCAAGTTGTGCAATCGAAATATCTCGAAAACTAAGCAACTTACAACAAAAGTGTAAATGGTAAAAAGAAAGGGTTACGAAAGGAGAACACATCGCACGAAAGTAAACTGTCGTCCGATGTTTAGACTAACTGACAAAACGATTTCTTTTTTTTGTTGCGTCAAAAAAAAACAGATCTTTAGAATTTTTCTCCTACACTCGCTTAAAAATGCTATTTCGTGATCACGAAAGTATTCAAAGATGACTTAATGTTGGCCCGTTCGATTATATATGTTGAGCAATTTGGAGCGCTCGCGTATTTCCGGGAATAACTTGAAAATTTGGATTCGGATCGTTTTTGTGTCGCTAGACCTTTTGAAAAAGACTAAATTACGAACTTAACAGTATATGACTTTATTCAATCCGATACATCGTCTTAAAGTTATGGAAGGTCGAACCAAAAAGTAATCAACCCGCCCTACCCTAATACAAAAAATAATCGCCCAAAATTGTTATCATAAAAGATAAAAACAATTGTCTGATATTCGAACAGCAATAAAAATGACATATGTCAATCTTATTTATTTTTAACTTCCCGCTAAGAAAATCGAAGATTTTCAAAAATCAGGAAGTTATTGTTTTCACCCCGTTTTACAAAAATCGAGTTTTCATCAGATCTCGACGTTTGAAGGTCACAGGAAGCTTCCCTGACTATCCCCGCGAGGTTGTCACTGTGTGTGTGTGTGTGTTTTCCCGTTAGGGGGGGGGGGAATCCTTTTTACGGATTCTAGGGGTAGCTGTTTGGCCTGGATATGTGGCGACTCGACGCAGCGTCATACTAAAACTCGACGCTAACGCCCCTACCCACTAAACCCTAAACCCCTTTCCTCGTTCCTCTAATCCCTCATGGAAACCGCCGTTAGGCATTACTTCGTGGGGGGAGGATATAGCGACTGCTCTTCCTTCTGGTAACTAAGGTATTGTTTTACCTTTCTTCTAGTTGTTGTCATTTGCTCTTTTTCTTCCGATGGAACGCAAGTCTATAAGGACTTCTGTTGCAAACGTGTTTGCGGCGTTCCAGGCAGCCTCTGATGACAGCATTGCTTCTACTATTGTCTCTGGTTGGATTTTCTTCTTCAGGATCATCTCCAGCTTATCTCGCTGTGGGTAAAATCGTGGGCATTCAAAGAAAACGTGCTCAGCGTCTTCATTGATTCCTGGGCAGGACGGGCACTCCGGTGAATCATCATGCTTGAAGCGGTGAAGATACGTCCGAAAACATCCATGTCCTGACAACATCTGCGTCAGATAGTAATTGACCTCGCCATGACTCCGGTTTAGCCAAACGCCGATCTTCGGTATAAGACGGTGTGTCCATCTTCCTGTTGTCGCGGCGTCCCACTGCGATTGCCATCGTGCGATGCTGTTCTGCCGTTCTTCAGCTCTGAGTTCCTCGGCACTTAGTGTGGTTGACCTCTTTCGTTGGTAAAGGTTCCGTCTTTCCTCAGCTAGAACTCTGAGCGGCAAAGTTCCGGAAATGACACACACTGATACTTCTGATATCGTGCGGAATGCACTGGCTAGTCTTACAGCGCTCAGTCGATATACTGGTCCAGCTTTTCTCCATGATTCTTGCAACTTCAGCGCGTCTACCCAAATGGATATTCCATATGTGAGCACCGATATGACAACTGATAATAGTAGTAGTCTCCTGCTCTGCTTTGGGCCTCCGACGTTCGGCATCAGTCATGCGAGACTAGCCCTCACTACTGACGCTTTGGCACTGACGTGTTCCATTTGCTGTTTAAAGTTGAGACGGGCATCAAGCATCACTCCCAAATATCGGATATAAGGTTGTGATGTGATTTCTTGTTCGCCGAATTTCAGCTTGATGGTCTCTAACACTTTTCTGTTGGATATAAGCACTGCCTCAGTTTTGTGTGTAGCCAGATGCAGGTTTACCGTATTTATCCACCGATGGACTCACTCGAAGGTGATGTCGAACATGTTGTTAATCTCGTCAAGGTGTTTAGCGACGATTACTACGGCTACGTCGTCTGCATACGCTACGAGTTTTACACTTCTTGGCAATTTCAATCTCAATAGGCCATCGTACATGATATTCCACAGCAGTGGACCAAGTACAGAGCCCTGGGGTACACCTCCGGTAATATCGTACTCTTTTGGACCATTCTTCGTGTCGTATTTAAGAACTCTATCGGTGAAATAGCTGGCCACTATTCTACACAGGTATTCTGGAACGTTTTTCTCTCGAAGAGCTTGCTTGATGCAGTTCCAGTTGGCGGAATTGAAGGCGTTTTTAATGTCTAATGCCGCCACCAGGCAATACTTCTTTGTGCCACCCTTCCATCTGGTTCCTGCGATCGCTTCTTTAGCCATGCTAACAACCAGATTGATCGCTTCCAGGGTTGATCGTTCTTTCCGGAATCTATACTGGTTGTCTGCCAGGAGTGGGTCGACTACTGCATCTATTCGTTGATGAATTATGCGCTCAAATATCTTACCCGCCGTATCTAGCATGCAAAGTGGTCGGTAAGATGACGGTTCTTCTGGTGGTTTCTTCCCTTTAGGTAACAGTACCAATCGTTGCTGTTTCCACTTACGAGGAAAAATCCCCTCCTTGAGGCATCCATTATAAGCGTTTAGGAATAATGTTGGAGCTGCCTTTATGATGGTTTTCAAGGCTAAATTAGGGATTCCGTCCAATCCCGGCGCTTTATTATTCCCTACACGGTTACAAGCCTCCAGCAGTTCTTCTTCAGTGACAGGTGGGGTGTCGTCCAATTCGCCTGGCGCCAACTGGTAATCGAAGTTGCGTTGCTGTGGAAACAGTGCAGTGACGATTTTCTGAAGAAGTTGAGGACACGTAGGTGATGGCATTTGTTGTTTTTTCAGGTGGGTCATAACCACCTTATAAGGCCTACCCCACACGTCTTTATCCACCTCGTATATAAGCTCTTTCCAGCATCTTCTTTTGCTCTCTTTGATGGCTTTATTCAGTTCATGACGCACCTTTTTGTACTCTGCGATCAGCTCCACTGAGTTGGGCCGTTGATAGCCGCGCTGAGAGATTCTTCTTTTCTTATGACACTCTTTACGGAGGACGCTGATGTGATCGTTCCACCAATGCACCGAAGGTATCGAATTTATGCCACGTTTACGAGGCATACTGGTATCACAAGCATGTGTTACTCTCCTCATCAAGTCCTTAATCTGTTCTTCTGCACATCCAGTGTTGATCGGATAACCATCGAGGGCTATTAGCAATGCTTCTGGATCAAAAGATTTCACCTTCCAACCAACAATGTTAGGTTGCTTGATTGGTCTCTTGAGGTTCTGGTCGCATGATATTTCCCAGAAT